AAAGTTCACACGGTGTTGACCTGCATTTGGACCCGTGCCAGTACTCGCAAATGCCACATGACGACGTCCACTCGTCCCTCTACTAACTACAGGACGCGCGATTGGGCTTGTGCTAGTATCCACCCCCCTGTTTTGCCTGCTTCCGACACTGGCATCAGTACCTCTGCCAATGCCTCCGATCTGTAAGCCCACCTTGACTCCCCCGACCTGCGTGCCTCTGTTGAATCGTCCTGTCTGTGTGCCCATGTTGACTCCCCCGACTGTGTGCCTCTATTGAATCTTCCTGTTTGTGTGCCCACACCGCCCCTCCTGACTGGTTGGGGCCTTGTCTGTCCTCTAAAGGTCTGACGGCAGTGTCTGTGTTGCCAGCAGAGCGTGCTGCCAAGCTCTGCTAAACGCGAGCACTGCCTGTGACCGGTCTTGACCACACACATGCACCGTGCTAGAGCAGGACTGCGCTGAGTTGCACTGCTACCGCATGCCTGATGGAGATGACAGAAGCGGGATTGAGCTATGGCAGGGAGGGAGCAGCGACGCCCCCGTTGCGTTCTGCAAGCACACTGCATCACTTACTCGTAAGCCGAGGAAATTTGTGGACAATGGTTATAGGAAGCCCGTGACATTGATTAGAAATTCCGCACCCTTTCAAAAAGCAGTACTGTAGTGACTGTACAAGTGTAGCAGATCACACAATTGCGTCCAGGCAACAGTCTGTAATGGTAAATGCCTCATCCTCCATTATTGTTGGCTTGCCGTCCTTCAGATCGTAGTACATGTATTGAACGTACAGACCTTCTGATTCCATCTCTGCTGCCTCATCAATGGCTTCGAGCAGACGTGCCTCTCGAATCTTGCGTGTGACCGCTGCTCGCTTCCCGTCAATCTGGAACGCATGAGGGTTGTAGCGAATGATGTGCACGGGCAGTGAGTTGCCTTCGATGGCCCACGCCTCGTAGATCTGCAGCATTCGTGCCACATCGCAAGCCACTCCGTAGCCTTCGTGCTGGTACTCGTCAACCTCGATCACAATGATCTTCCCCTTGTGGTCGAGGATGAAGTCAATACGCGCGAACGAGCCCCCCAAGCAGTCAAAGGTCACATGATGCTCGCGCTTGAAAGGGAGTCCGGCCTTTGTGAGTAGCTTGGCAATCCGCTCCTCCTCGCGCTTCCGACGCTGCTGGCCCTCCTTCGTGTGGTAGTAGAAAGTGTGTGTCTTCAGGGGGTCGCCCCTCGAAAATGCTTCCTCGCAGTCTGCTTCGATGCACTTGTATGGCTTCTCGCCCGTATGCGTGCGCTCGTGCAACGTCAGATGTATACTTTGTGCGAAAGCTTTACCACATCCGGGATGAGAGCACGCATACGGCTTTTCACCCGTATGTGTACGCTCGTGCGTTCGAAGCTGTGTGCCTTGCGTAAAAGCGGCGCCACAGCCTGAGTAAGTGCATTTAAACGGCTTTTCGCCCGTATGTGTGCGCTCGTGAGACCTTAAGGCGCTGAGGTGTGAGAAAGCGGCTCCGCAGTTGAAAAAGGTGCATTGATATGGCCTCTCGCCCGTATGTGTGCGTTCGTGCTCCTTTAATTGGTCAGCCCTTGCACAAAGGGTGCTGCAATCTCGAAAAGAGCACTTGAAAGCCTTCTCAGCGGTATGCTGCGTGACTTTGTGTCGAGCAAGGGTCTTACTTCTGTTGAATTCAGCATCGCAATCTGGATGATCGCATTTGAATTCCTTTTCGTCGGTGTGCACCGAGGATTTGTGTTGAGCAAGGTTATCGCTTCTCGTGAATTTGGCGCCACAGTCCTGATGATCACACTTGAAAGCCTTCTCGTCAGTATGCACCGTGGATATGTGTCGAGCAAGGCTGTCAGTTCTTGTGAATTTGGCACCACAATCTCGATGATTGCACACGTACCACTTTTGCACGACTGGAGAAGCCATGTTGAATTGATGCTTCTTGGGGTCCTGCAAGTCCCTAAGCAATGATTCTGTGCTGCTCAGACGCCTGGTGATGCCATGAATCTCTGAAAAAGTGTTGGATTCACCTCGGCCCATGGAGTAAATTGCTCCACAGCTTTGAAGTCGATCAAGAGGCCAAGGACCAGCAGAGCAATCAGGCAGTAGTAGAGAAACATGCTTGCATATACACCTTGTAAACAAAATCAGCTTGCTTCGGTTGGTGTGCCATGAATTTTTTCCGACAACCATGGTAACAGCTATGAGGGCCTTTGTAGCCCCGTTCTTGGTGCTCGCCATGCTGACCATGTCTGCCTCTGCTGCAAGCATCTCTCGAAGATCCCTATTGTGTGCCAATCACACCTGCCATAACGTCACTCAAACACCTAGCCCGGAAACACTTCCAATCTCGTACAATTACCCGCCTCCAATGACAACACAGAGCTCTCCCCCACCCCAGCCAACAGAGACACAGAGCCCTCCACCTCCTGCAACAGAGAGTCCAACACTACCACCAAACCCCCCTCCTCCAATTCAGACTGAGGCTCCAACACCCGAACCAACTGAAGCCCCCACCGAAGCGCCCACTGCAACCCCAACTGAGGCTCCCACCCCAATTCCCACACAAACGGAAGTCCCTTGTGTAAATACCACAGATGCACCCTCTCCTGAGCCTGCAATCGCGCCTGCTCCCCAGCCGATTGCACCGGCTCCGACTGTGCAGCCATCCCCCCCGCCAGAAATCCTGCCCATAGAGGCTCCAAGCCCAGCCCCCGCTCAAGCCCCTTGTGACGAACCGAGTCCCTCACCTGTCATTGCACCCGCACCAGCGCCATCAGAAGACCCCATGCAGGTCTGCTACAACTCATATGAACTGAAGAGCTGCACTTGCAAGTGCAACTAAGCTGCCCTCAACAAAACCTTTGCGGACTATACCGAGCATGTCACTGAATCAGACTCAGATACTTGCACGCATCAATGATGTCAGACGCAAGCATGGGGCACCCGCCCTTGTTTGAGACGAGGCCCTCGCCAGGTGTGCTCAGGACTGGGCGAATCGGAAGCAGTTCGTTCACTCGACCGACCGGCAGTACGGGGAGAATCTGGCAAAGGTGTGGAGCTTCGAGCCGGACATGCACACCGCAATAGATC